GCCGCATGCATGAAAATAATTGTGGCCTGGCTACCCAGTGGGCCATTGCCGTTCATGATGCGACCTCAAAGGCCGCAGCTTCACCTGCAAATCCTGCGGAATCCTTCGGCTGCCAGCTTGCGTGTTTTGCCTGGTCCTGCAGACTTTGTGGTAAACAACAGTCACCGCACCCATTCTGTCTATTTCTTTTTGCTCGAACCTTAACCGCCTTCTCGCCTAGAGAAACATGTCAATGTCTGCTTTTGACGACGTGGGTTGATGGCTGCTGCTGAGGGGTTGCATAGCAACATCGTGTACACCCCCAACACCACCAACTCTTGGGCCTTTTACAGGGCTTGCGGACGCAAGCAAAGCACCTGCCTCAATCGTGGGATCGGACGACGGATCGGACGGATAGGACCTCCAGGGGAGCAGCTCTCAGTGATGGGAATCGAAAGGCGGGCTTAGTTAGGACTAGTGACCGAGTCAACCGGTGGGGCCACCACGGGGACGTCAGGCCGATACAGACCTAGTGAGCTCCCGCATGCCTGTGTCCAGGTGCACATCTTTCCTGAGGCAGCGATGTGTGTAGCATGTCAGCAGGACAAAGTGTCTCCCCTCGCCAGTGCCAAGGCAGCCAAGGTGCTTCACCCAAACCAACTTGACCTTCACAGCAAGAGCTTACTTGGGGATTTCAGCGGGGCTTAAGAAGAAGGGAAAAGGAAATGGAACCCACTATATGATGTAGGATGATGTAGGGTTTGGGGATTTCAGTGGGGCTTAATAAGAATAAAACAGGACATGGAGTGGCTGGGCTTCTTCGGCCCGAGCGGCTCTTGTCTTGGGTGGCTTTGCCACGGCCGCAACCGGCCCAGCGCGTCTTCTTGGGCGCTGGCCTGCAGTGACATGAGCCCTGGACTAAATTTGTAGTATATCCCTTAATAGATTCCCCCTAAAACCCCTATAGAGTCCCCTATAGGTCCCCCCCCAACCTAAATTGAGTCTGTAGCTCACATGGCTTCCTGATCCAGTACCACACAGACTCTGCTACAAACAGGCCTGCGAGCTCCTAGCGCTCGTCTTCACCCCCAAAAGTTACAACAGTTTCCATTTTCTTTTCCATTATCCCTATATAACCCTAATATAGTACAGCAGTTTCCATGTTATTTTCCATTATCCCTATATAACCCCAACATAGTATAGTAGTTTCCATTTTATTTTCCATCATCCTTCAACTTCTGGCACTCCAGCCACCTCAGGCTCATCGGCATCAAATTCTGGGGTTATATAAGGGAGCCACTCAGTTTAGGGTTTAGGGTTTAGGGTTTACTACTATACTATGTTGGGGCTATATAAGGATAATGGAAAGCAAAATGGAAACTACTATACTATAGTGGGGTTATATAGGGATGATGGAAAATGAAATGGAAACTGTTGTAACTTTTTAGGGCCTCAACTGTTCTTCTCAATCAGGATTTCAAGAACAGTTCAAGGACAGTTCAGCCCGCCTCCGTTCGAAGGCTCCCAACTGCCTGGACTGAGGGCTGGTGTTCCCAAACGCACAGCACAGGGTTATATAGGGATAACGGAAAATAGAATGGAAACTACTATCATAGGGATTACTTGGGGGTTATATAGGGTTGTAGAAGGTTAGTATATAGAGTCAGATCAAGGCATGCAACAGATCTGTCGGCCTTGGCTTTTCACGTACGAGGCCTTTCGCCATGTCCCGCATTTACCTGCAAACAGCGTCTCGGCAGAGGCAGTTTTCTGCAAGCTGGGCAGCACTGACAGGACATGAGCTGTGCACCCAACCTTGGTCATGCCAAGCACCTGCAGCAGGACGCAGGTGCAAGCAGCACTGCAAGCTGAGCGACAAAAAACAGGGCCTGTATCCCCTTCACCCTCGCTGGATGAAACCGAATCCTTCTTCTCCTTCCAGTGCCAACCTGCTTTTTGTGTCTTGGAACACTTTGGCATTTCACGTCCAGGAAACAGCCAACAGGCAAGGCTGAACAAGCCAGCTGGCCTTTTCTGTCAGATGACGCTGGGTACTTGTTCAACGTGTTCCGAATACAGCAACTGGCCCGGCCTGGTTCAAGAGAGCTTTATTATTATCACTCTTATCATGACTATGTTTACTATTATTACCATTATTACAAGTATTACTGTCATGATTACTATCATTACTATTGCTACTATTATGATTCTTATTTTCACTAAAGCTATTAGTGTCACAAGGAGTGCTGGGATCAAGCTCAAGCAAATGGCCAAGCTGCACGAATTCAGCTGGCCTTCAGGGTCCGTAAATTTCTCCGGTTTGAATCCCCAGCCTGCCGCTCGTGGATCACCTGCAGCGCCATGTTCCAAAATGGAACAGCCAAGGTGAAAGGTCCAGCTCGCCTTCACCATAATGCTTCCACCAACCTGAAAATCTCACTTGGGACGCAAAGGGTTCAGCTGAAGCAAGCCCAGGATGTCCCCTCCCAGCCTGGGTCCTGGTTCCAGCCTTTAGTCTTCCACTGATGGTGGCCTCGCCAGATGACGTCAGTAGCACTTGGTCACTTCGTCGCCCTTACTCAACAATCCTTTGCCTTGTCAGTTCTTCCAGGCGGACCAACCGCGGTCCCACGCGGAACGCACCATGGCGCAATTGCAGCCCCTTTCAGAAGGCTCTCTTGTGCTCTTGCTGGTGAGCCGATAGGATGGCCAGCCATCTTATTCACTTGCTAGACCCATGCCACAGCTTACCCATGCAGCAGCAGTGCTTCCTTGGCTGAGCTGTCTACTTTGAGAGCTACTGAAAATACAGAGGCTTACCCACTCCTCTGCCATCTTGCGCAAGCCGCTAGCTAGCACTATTCGTCAGCATCTTACAAATCCGAATGTGCCGTCGTGCTTCTTCTAGGTATACCCTCTACAGGACCCCCAAGCCTTCAAGACCCCCATATGAATTCCTATGTAGTGCTTTCTGGGGGTTGTTATGCTGTTTGGTACAGGATTGCAAGTACCCAAACTTGAGCTACAGAGGACTTGTTTTAAGCATGAAGCCTCTTGTCTGCACCAGCTTCAATTAGCACGCGGACCAATTCCACGTGACCCTGCCCTCATTAGTTTAGCACTTCAAGTGTTCAAGGTTAAAATTGCTATATGCATTCCTCCACAAATAACAGTTACTTGTTATTAGCAATGCTTTAAGGCTCCGCACCATACTGCTTCCGCGATAATAAGCATCAAAGACCAGTCGAGATTGTTTTTCGGAACTACAATCCCCGCAACTGGCTGCGAAATGAAGAGCCGTGGCCGCGTCTGCAGTGGAACCTGTCCTGGCAGGGGCAGCTTTCGGTCAGGGCTTCTCATTCTCCTAAAGGGCACTTTTAATAATCTTGGGGTTACTTCGGGGTTCTATTGGGGTTTTGATTAGGGTTATATTGGGGTTATATCTTAATATCTGCAGCTGTGACCATGTACATGAGGTAGATTCCACCGGCTGGAGAATGCGAAGTATCAGAGGGTTTGTCCTAGGAATTTACCTGGGGATTCGGGATGTTAGTCTTAGGAGGAAAGAATCGAGGGACGAAACGCATGCTGTCAAGCCCCGAAAGCTCTGGTTGGTAAGGATTGGGTGCTAGATTTCTCACTTGGGTGTTCCAGTATGCGCCATGTCGCCGTGCAGGAGCTCACCCAGGCAGCAAAGAATCATTGGCCGAGTTGTCTACTCTTTCCTCTAAGGGATTTGGAACCCCAGTAGAAATTTTAATTTCAGCTAAATATTAGGATTGTTGGTAACAGAAATTAACAATCATTTTCAGGAACCTTGTTGTTTAACTCAGAGTATCCCAGCATCCTCCTTCGCCAAGCTCGCCATCCCCCAGCAGCTTCACGATGCCTCGCTGCCAGCCACGCACTTAACTCGACAGCTCGCCTTATTTCCAGCCTACTACGAAGAAGGGGGAAACATCTTGAGCACATTCAACCGCGCCACTGACGAGACCCCTTCAGAAAGGCAGCTCCGCACAAAATGGCGCCAGACCACCCAAATCCCAATCACCTCCCCCTAATGATAACTCCCCCTCCGCCCCTGATAATAATGTGCTGGTACGAGATTTGCGGGTCACTGTTAGGGCGAGGTGGATTTACGTCTTCTCCAGGGCTCTTGCAGCTGCCGTTTGAAGGTTGCCTGACATCCCTTTCTTGGCGAGGATAGCCTACTACTAGGTTTTGCCGGATGGCTAGGGGAAGAGGCTTTGCAGCTCATAGCTGAGGGGGCGTGGGAAATGGGTTTCGGGCTAAGGGAGTAACCAGGCTAGGGCTGGGAGCTTCAAGTGTCGAGATGGACAGGACAAGCTCGTAACATCTTCAACGCAATAGTATTGATATGAAGCTGCTTATGCTGGACTCAAGAATGAATTTGAAGAACTCGGTAAAATCGAAGGAGCAAGTCTGCAAAATGCAAACCGTCCATCCGAACCCTCAGTCATCAACAGCAATCACGAAGAAGAATCATGAAAACACTAAACGGAGACTGAAGATGCATCGAGAGCGCCTACCTGGACCTCAAATGTGGGCTAAACACGTACCAAAGCCTTTAAAAACATTGAAAACGCCCGTCCTCTACACTTTGGAGGTACAAGTAGGCCCTAGGTGTAGCGTGGCCCAGCCTCGTAGAGGGAGCTGTGGCCAGTTGCTGGGCCCAGCTCGGCCGGCTGCACTTCCTCCTTTCGCGCGGAGCGTTTAGGGTGCTTAGGGGGTCCCCATAAAAACGGTTACAATGTTTGGGGGTCTATATTGGGGTCCCCTTACTTTGGGAAACTACCATATAGGAATTATCTTGTAATGGGAATGAGGGAAACGGGCTCGGGGGAATGCTATGCAAGACACCCTCCATTCCCGTGAAGCTTTCACGTGAAGCAGGACAAGAAGACAAGCAGAAATGAGGGAAAACAATCAGAGATCAAAATGCGCACGCAGAGCGACGCTCACTGTGATGGCCACGGCACTTTTCCTTGCATGAGTGGATTCTAGGCCTGTCCCGTTTTAGGACGTTCCCACGAAAAAACCTCTGCCGCCCCGTCCGGGCTGACAATGCGAATGGTGTTGAAATTCTCTGGAATTCGCGCATCTCTCAGGAATTCCTCGATGACGGAGACATCCATGATAAATTTTGGTTGTATGACGGGTTTCAAACGCCGCCTTGCCACAGCAGCTCTCTGCAAGCAGTAGAGCTTCCATGGCTCCGTTGTGAAGAGCTGCTCCTCTCCGTCCGCCGATCGGGCACGAAAGACAGGGATGGGGAACTCATGCCCCAAGTAGCAAGTCTCCGCATCGGAATTCACTTTGACTTGTTGCCACACCCTGCTTAGCAGGATGTTGGCAGCTCGCCCGTCGGGCTGCTTATCGGAAATTGCACTGCAGGCGTATGCTACATCAAATGGTGAAACCCTGCCCATGTCTGAGGGGACCGTGATGTCCTCCTGCCGCGGGCACGCAGTCCAGGCTTTTGCTGCTGATGCCGCATCTTCTGCAGATGCGATCGTTGCGGCCGTTGCCACTTCTGACAGCTGGGCCGGTTCGGCTTCCGCCACTGGTGCTGCCGCTTCTGACGTCTCAGCAGGTTCGGCCCGGTGGGCAACTTTTGCCTTGCATGGCTTTGCCACAGCCTCAACCGCATGTGTGAACAATCGCGAAGCCCCGGCCGCAGGGCGTGGACCTGCAGTGCCATGGCTTCACACTCCGGTACCACACACACCATGCTGAGACAGGCCTGTGCGCTCCTTGCGGTTGTCTTCATCATAGCTTGGTGCACTCCAGTCACCTGCCGCTGCAGCGCTCAGAGCTTCACATGCTTTCATTTGTCGACCTCAGCCACTCTTCGAACAGAAGCTCAAAAAACAGCTCCAAGACAACCCCCAGCCTTGGTTCGGGCGGCTCCAGCTGCCTGGACCGAGGGCTGGTGTTCTTACAGGCACGGACCACTGCATGCAACAGTTCCGCGAGCCTTTGCTGCCTGGGTAGGTGGTTGGCCTTTGTCTCTGCCAATCGCCTCCCGTCAGGGCCCAAGGTAGTTTTGCATAGCGTTGTTGGAGCTGGGCCGCTCTGACAGGACATGAATCGCGCGCGCCCAGCCTCCATTTTGCCGTGTACCTGCACACCGGATCTAGGAATGCAAAGGAGCAAAGTGAGAAAATATTGAACCTCGATGGCCTTCATCCTCGCCGGATGAAAATGCATCCTGATTGTTGTTGCCACGCCAGCCTGGTCGGTGCGTCGCGGCACGTCGGGATTTCGCGCCCAAGCAAAAAAGCCAACCAACTGGGGGAAAAAATCCACCAAAATGCATTCTTAAAATATATGTTTTCCCCCCAGGATTCCTTAAAATATCATTTTCCCCCAGCCCCTTGTTTAGCCAAGGCTGAAGAACCCAGCGGGCCTTGATACTCCGCATATGAGGCACGGTACTTCTCGGAGTTGCCCCAGCCTGGTCCGTGTCGCTTAAGGTGCCAGGTTTGGGCTCAAAAAGTTGATGTTTGGCAGTAACAGGGAATGGCTAGATCGGGTTTCTATCGTAGCCATGGTAGAATCCCCCAAGATATAGCAGCTGTTTCCATTGCATTTATTTCCACTCCTTCATGATCACTCCTTGCTAACAACCTAGACCCCTCCAATACCCTCTGTTCTACCCTAAATACCCACTTTCAGGGACTACATACCCCTTTCTCAGGTCAGGGTACAAGGAGACTCCTAAACCCTAAACCCTTAAACCCTAAACCCTAATCCTGCAAGCGCCGGATCTAGGAATGCACAGAAGCAAAGTGAAAAAAATTTAAACCTCGATGGCCTTCATCCTCGCCGGATGAAAATGATTCCTGATTCTTGTTGCCACGCCAGCCTGGTCGGTGTGTCGTGGCTCGTCGGGATTTCACGCCCAAGCAAAAAGCCAACCAGTTGGGGGAAATATGTTTCCCGAAATGGTTTTCTTTAGAATATCTACATATATATATATATATTGTTCCCCCATTTTTTGTAGTAAAATTGTTCCCCTACTTGGTTGTTTATATATATATATATATACAAATATATGTTTTTCCCCCCTCCCATTTGTTTCGCCCGGGCCGAAGAAGCCAGCAGGCCTTGATACTCGTCCCATGAGGCTTGGCACTTCTCAGATTTGCCCCAGCCTGGACTTGACATGCCAGGTTCAGCCAGAAAGTTGATGGTTGGTAGTAGAAAATGGAGGAAGGGATTTCCCATCATAGCCAGGGTACAATCCCCAAGGTATATCACTAGTCTCCATTGTCTTTGTTTCCATTCCTTCACTCCTTCCAAACAACCTAGACCCTCCTCGATCCTCGACTTTACAACAACTAAATACCCACTATCAGGGAGTATATACCCCTCTTTCAGGGCACAAGGAGACTCCTGGAACCAGCAAACAAAAATCAGGCTCATCGGCTGGCCTCTACTCTTCTCGCTGTACTGCTTCCAATTGTTGCAGCCTTTCCCCAAGCTTTGTTCATGATCAATGCAGAGGTGACACGTACAAGGTCCCACTACATCTCATTGTAGAACTGAGGATTGTTTATGAATTGAAAGCATTTCTGGAGTTTTGTATCACCTAGCATGTTGGGGCCCTGCTGCAAAACAACGGCCAACGTGAAGACGCCCAACTGGCCTTCATCGCCAGATGAAGCATACAGCTTCTCGGACCAGCCGGAAGCTTGCCAAGAACCTGATTTGGGCCAGTTGTTTCAATGAGGTACGTATTCGGGTCTGGCTGAAGCAAAAAACAAAGCCATGGTGGACCCTTAAGGCCTGCGTCGCGATCCCAACCTGATTGTGGTGTCCACTGTTGGCCTCAATCCGTGACATAGCAACCGTTTACCGCGTTCCGCTGGACGTCCAAACTTACATGCCCGGCCTTTCTGCCGGTTCTCCCAGCCCCCACGGGACCAGCCGCGGTCCCACTTCGAACAGGCCATGGCGCGATCAAGTCCGAAGCTGGCAGCCCAAAAGCTCTAGTTGCTGAGGATTCAGTGCTGGACTTCTCCCCTGGGTATGTTAGTACACCATGCCGATATGCTGGAGCTTACTCAATGCAGCAAGGCATCCTTGGCCGAGTTGTTTAATCTAAGAATTATTTCGCCAGAGCAGTTTCCGTGTTCTTTTCCATTATCCCTTTATAACCCCGAAATAACCCCAAGATATACCCTATAATCATATAGCTTCCATTTTCTTTTCCATTATGCCTATATAACCCCAATATATACTCCCAGCAGACTCCTTCGCCAAGCTCCCCGCTGGCGCTTAACTCGACAGCTCACCTTACAAAGAACGGGGAAACATCTTGAGCACATTCAACCAAGCCGCTGGCAAGACCCCTCCAGAAATGCAGCTCGGCAGTAATGCCCCCAAGCCACCCAGGTCCCATCGACCTCCCCCTAATGGTAACTCCCCCTGCCTCCCAAAGTAAGACTGCGCTGGTACGAGATTGGGAGGCCATCATTAAGGGGCACGAGGGGCCCTTAACAATATGAGAAGAGGGCGTATGTGATTCACGCACAGTATGGCCAGTATGGCGTGCACTCGGCTTCAGCGGTGGCTTTGTAGCAAACTGTACATCTGCAACTGCACAGCTAGGACCAACTACAGGAGGGAGTTTCCAATGGGGGGACATTATGTCAAGGGCATGTAAGGGGTGTTTAGGCACAATGGGGTGCTGCATATCAGGTATATATCAGGCTTATATAGGTCCTTTGCAAGAGTACATGCGGCACCTCATAATTGCAAGGTACCTATCCAGCCTCTGGATGCGTGAGCTACACGATCATCTTGCAAGCCTACGAAAAGAGTGTGGCCAAGGGATGCGCCTCCTGGACTGATGGAGCCGCCAGCACAGTACAGCAGCAGCTTGCCGAGCACCTTCCTCCCAGGACATCGCCACTGCTTCAAGTCTACAACTTCTCTGCACAAGCGCGTCCGAAGGAGCACTTCAGCTTGGCGACAACCGCACAAATCTGCCGACACTTCGCTCTACAACGAAAATCGTAGGAATTGAATGAAGCAGGTTTGGAGATGACATCACTCCGGGAACGATGCCTTCAGAAAACCACATGGCCGTCCACTCACCTCCAGAACGACCTTGTGGTGTCACCAGTAGCACACTGCTTGCGGAGCAAACATCCAACGATCATGCTGTTCAGAGACTGGCCCTGAGATTAGCCATCTACAGCATCTACCATGTGCGATTCATGGCTTCCGCTTGTGTTGGGACTTTTGGTTGTGAATTGTGTAGAAAATCATCATATCTTGGATTCAGACTGACTTATCACCTATGATAAGATTTATGACTGTACCACAGAATGACTTAACAAATCCCCCTGTAAGAGCTTGGCCTTCTGGGTGAGCCTGAAGGCGCTCACGCCATCGGAGCTCAGAGGCACCCATCCTGCGGTTGCGCATGGCCGTCCATTAGTCTGGGTTGCTGTCGGGGAACTTAAATTAAGTTACCATAACATGATGGGTATATAGAAATTATACTGGCTTTTCCTTATTATAGTATCTTATTTGAATTTCATTTAGCAGGAACCAGATTAGTTGTGTGAGGGCTCCACTTACGATGCACAATGGAGAGTTCTCTTGTGTTCACAATCGAAACGCAACACTGCAATAGTGCTGGCATGGCGCAAGATTTGTTGATGCTGTGTGGAAGTTGAGTGCGGAAGGACTTGATGCCGGTGCACCCTCCGAAACCTCTGTCCTAAACTCCCACTCTGAGGTTCCGAAGCATTCTGCTTCCAAATCGCCGTGCGTTCGACTTACATGCAAATGCGGAAAGAGAACTCCCAAATGCCAAAAAAACACACACACACACACACACACACACACAGCTGCGATCCTGCACACAAAATTGCTTCTGAGGATGGTTGAAAACAAACGGGAGCATAGTAGCACCCCTTCGCATGCTCGGAGGCCCCAAGCAAGACGAGGCGTTGCAGCTTTCTAGAGATTTAAGAAGTAGTTTTGCAAAATAGGGGGACCCCAACATAGAGGCCAAAATAGTATAGTCCTTACTATAGGGAAACTCCGGAAAAACCCCAAGAGTGGTGGCCACAGCACGGCATCTGTCTGCACCTTCATGTTGATCCGCTGAAGCTCTGTTTGCATCGCTGGGGGCTTTGAAGATCTGTACGGGTTTCGGCTTTAGGGTTTAGGGTACCTGCCCAGGAACACCAATCAAATACACCCCAAAACCGAGTTGATTACATCTATGCCCTCACTGTCGTCCTGCTGGTGGGAGGCCGCTATCTTCCTCAGCCCCTCCGAGCTTAGGCAAACTTCCCCCAAGTGCCTGATGCAAGAACAACCCCTGGCTAAAAACTCGGCAACCTGCAGAAGGCTGAATTCGCTCTGCAACTCCCCGGTCCTCCTGATGGAGATTCCCGAAATGTAGCGGTCCTCCCAGATTTTTTTTTGGCAGGGTGTGACCCATGGACGGGGAGAGTATGTCCGAGAAGCTGGAACACGTCTTCAGGCCACTGACCTGCTGAATACTGAAATTTACATTGAAACACCCTACGATGTCCTCAGCTCCAGATTGTTTGAAAGATTGGCGTAAGCTGTCAACAGATAAGCAAGTCAAAAGCTTGGAGGTCGCTGCTTGTTGGGGGTGTCTAGGGAGCTTGCGTTGAAGCAGTTGGAGATTTCGAGCTCTTGCGGCTTTGGGGCTATGCATAGTGAATGCCTGTGTATTTTACCGGAATGAATGGAATTCAAGTAGTTCCTTGACTCAATTGGGGATTGGAAGTGTCGTGCGTATTCTCGCTGCATGCTTAGGAAGACATTGGCTCGTTGT